GCCACCATGACAATGGATGACCTCAGATGGACCTCGGGTGATGCTGGATCTCCTTGGATGGACCTTGGGCCACCTGGGATGGACCTCTGGCAACGTTGTATGAGTCTTGGGTGACATTGGATCTCCTTGGACGAACCTCAGGCCACCTCAGATGGACCTTGAGCAATGCTGAACCACCTTGGATGACCCTCAGGTCACACTGAACCACACTGGATGGACCTTGGACCTCCTCCCATGACCCTTGGACCACCCAAGCCCACACGGGATGACCCTCAGGCCACATTGGACCACTACAGACCACCTTGGATAGACCCTCAGGCCACCCTAGACCAAACTGGACAACCCTCAGGTCCCACTGGACAAGCCTCATTCCACAATGGACCACCTTGGATGACCCTTCCTTAGGCCAAGACCACACTGGATGGACCATGGACCAGCAGGCCCACACTGGACCACTCAGGATCATTTTCGATGACCCACAGGCTACCCTGGCCCACCCTCATCCCCTTCCAGCCTCTCCCAAGCCGCTCTGGCCCCTCCTTGGGGACACTGTTCATCTGCCCTGGCCAAAGTCTGGGACCTTCCTGGGCAACATCTGAGTGCTCAACCCCCGCTGAGTCCAGTCCACCCATCCCCCATCCCCCACCAGCTCCGGGGCGGCCAAATGCCACGGTGGTCACTCCCCATCCCTCTCCCTGGGGCTCAGGGCTCCAGCGGCTCGGCCGGTGGTGATGGCGTCCGGGGCGGGGACGGCGGCGGCGGAGGGGTCAGCGGGAAGAGCGGCGCGGCCGGAGCCGAGCCGGGCGAGCCGGGCGTGTCCAGAGGCGGCCGGACGGGGAAGAAGAAGGGGCACTGGTGGATGAAGAGTTCGATGATTGTCTGGTAGGTCCTGGTGGCTGTCAGCGCGTCCATCGTGCTGAAGTCGGGCCGCATCAGCGTCGGCCAGAAGCAGATGGACAGGTTCTCRCTGGTCATCAGGTTGACGCGGTGCTGCTGGCTCACCCTGCGGGGGACATTCCAAAAGTGACCATTCCTGGTGGACAAATCCCAAAAATTCAAAAAATCCACAGAAGTACAGAACAATCCCAAAAAAACCCCGCAAAATCACCCAAAAAGTGGCCAAAAATTGTCCAGTAATTGCAAAAAACAATTTCCAAATAGTTCCCAAGGCTGCCTGAAAAACTGACAAAAATTCATAAAAATTTCCCCCCAAAGTTTACAAACATTCGCCAAAATACCCAAAACATTCCCAAAATCCTGCCTGCACCTGTTGAGATGTGCGATGACGTATTTGAAGACCTCGTAGTTCTCGCGAGGGAATTTCCTCAGGACGTCCCGGAGTGCATGGAGCTTCTGGTCCCGGTCATTGATCTCTGGGATTGCAGGGAAAACAGGAATTTTGGGGGTTGGAATGGCCAAAAAAAAGGAATTTTTGGGGTTTGGTCAAAATAACCCCAGGAATGGAGTGAGAGTTAATGAGAAACTTGGGAGGAATTTAGGAGGGATTTATGAGGAATTCCTGAATAATTCAAGAGGAATTAATAGGAAATTAACAAGGAATTCAGAAGGAAATAGTCAGGAATCCAAGAGGAATCCATGAGGAATCCAGGATGAATTTTGGGAACGTGGTGTCCCCAAAACCCCTGGAATGGCCTGGAGACGGTGATGCCTGATGATTTTCGCTTTTCCTTTTTACACTTTCTGTACCCTCCATACATTCACCTGCACCCCTTAGCACACGTTTGTAATTCCTGTACCCTGATATTCCAGCTTAGTTTAGGAGTTCTGCTGGACAGACAGACCAAACATCCAAAAGAAAGAGTCAGTGTGCCCTGTGCTATCTGAAACCCGAGACTCCCACCTTGGTTAAAGCGTTCTGTCCAGAACATCTTGTGTAAACTGGGCTCTGGCCTCATCCAGAGGGAGATTCATTAGAATAGAGAAACATTACTGCATTTGTAAAGTTTCTACTTGGGAAATCCTAGATAGAAATGCTAATTCCTGGAACATATAGAACTTGTATCCATGCTGTACACAGTCTGCATTCTGCCATGAAGTTGTGCACCTGGGATCCCAAATACCGAGGTAAAACCCTTTTTGTCCCCTTAACCATGTCTGTGTCATTATTAAAAAATTGGCCTTTCAATGCAACAATGGTAGTAAAGAATTAATCACCAATTAATGACATATTAAGGAGGAAAACCAAGGAATTCCTTTGAAATCAGGGCCAGGCGGGGGGCGGGGGGGGGGTAGAAATTCCCATGAATTCACTCACTGTGGGCCTCCACCAGCTCCACCTGCATGGCGTAGGGCACCAGTGGCTCAGGCAGCTCTGAGAAAAAGCTTTTCATGGCCCCGGCCACAGTGTTGACGGTGAAATCCTTCTCGGCCAGGTCCAGCCCGTGATCTGGCAGGGGAAAAGTCCATGGGAATGCCTTGGGATTGGCCCTGAAGGAGCCCTCAGATCCATCCCCTGAAACCCCAGGGAATGGAGCCAATTCCATGAAAAATGCAAGTGAGAAAAGAAGAAACTTCAGCCCCAGAATTCTGATGCAGGAGGAGTTTGGGGTGGGGGAAACTTTTCCCAGGGAGAATCCTGAGGGAAGTCCCACATTTGCCCTGGAGAAGCCCTCAAATTCCCAGGGAATTGGGACAGGATTGGGTCAAACTTCCTGGAAAATGCGGCGTGAAAAGAACGCTGGGAACTGGGGGAAAAGCCCAGGAATTCTATGGATCAAGGCAGAATTCCAGCCCCAAAATCCCAAAGGTGGGAGATAAAAGGTTTCCTGAGTGAAATCACATAAAATTTGCCCTGAAGGAACCCCCAAGGAAAAGGGGTCAGAAATGAAGTGAAATGAACTGAAAAAAACCTGGGAATTGTGGCAAAAAAACAGTATTTCCACAGTTCCAGAGGGAACTATGGATGGAGGGTAGCTTTCCCAGGATTGGGGTGGGATTGGAGTGGGATCTGGGGTGGGATTTAGGGTTACCCTGGTCAAACTGGCGCTGCAGACTCTCCATCTCCGACTTGTTCCCACTGACACGATAAATCCCCTCTGTGCTCAGGCCTGGGAAAAAAAAAAACAAAACAGAAAAGTCCTGAATTTCTCCTTCTCCAATTCTGGCCTTTTCTAGGGCTCATTCCGAGCTCAGTGTGATTTTGGGGGAGAATTTTCACCAACATTGGCGGAAAAAATGAAGAGAAAAATTCCCTGTGCTGCCCCTGATCCCTCCCAGAATTTGCAGGGAAAAATTCCATGGGGAAATAAAGGGATCCAGGGAGCAGCCAAAGATCCAGGAAGAATTTGCCCCTAAAACCCCTAAAAAACCCTCAAAAATTCTCTAAAAAAAAAAAAAATTAAAAAAAAAAGACCTCTAAAATAAATCCTAAAAATCCCTTTAAAAATCCCCGAAACAATCCCTTAAAGAAAACCTCAAACTCCTACAATCCTTGACAAAACCCCGACAAAACTCCATAAAATTTAAAAAAAAAAATAAATCCCCTTAAAAAAATCGCAAAATCCTGCCCAGAAACCAAAAAATAGCCCCAAAACCCCTAACACAAGGCCCCCCAAAAAATCCTAAAAACAAACGTCCCAGAACTCCTGAACAAACTCTTTAAAAGTCATTTAAAAATTCCAAAAATACTTTAAAAACACCCAAAATACATTTAAAAGAACTCCCAAACCCCCTACAACATCCACCCAAAATCTCAACCCTCTCAAATATCCCAAAAATAGCACCTCAAACTCCCTAAAAAAACTGCAAAAATAAAAAATTCCGTAAGATACCTAAAAAAACCTAAAATTCCCCTAAACGCTTAACAATTCCTGAAATTCCCCCTCAATCTCAAAAAAAAACCCCAAATCCGCAACCACCCCACAAAAAAAACACCCAAATCCATAAAATCCCCAAAAACGCTAAAAATACCTTAAAACCTTAAAAATAATTGAAAAATTAAAAATCAAAAATCAAAATCCTAACAATTCCCAAAACAACTCCCAAAAACTCCCAAAGTCCTAAAACCCTCCCTAAATATCCCTTATAAATACCCCCAAAACTTCTTAAAAAAATAAGGAGGTTTTTTCCCAAAAAAAACCCAAATCATTAAAAAATTCTGTAACAATTCCACAAATCCTGAAATTGCCCCAAACTGACCAGTGGCCTCGATGTACTCGATGCAGCGCTCAATGAAGAGTGGGATTGGCCGCTCCGGGGTCACCACGTGGGCCAGGGGCACCCCAAAGTAGCTGCTCTCCCACGGGGTCTTGGTCAGGGACGGACGCGCCTTCGGCTTTGGTTTCTGCAGGAAAATGCCCCAAGAATTGCATAGTTTGGGGATTTTTGAGTGGCTGGAGGGGTCGTGGGGGATTTTAGTGGTCACAACTCAGCTGAATCCAATCCAATCCAACTCAACCCAACCCAAACCAACCCAACCCACTTTCCACCAAAATCTCAAGAAGTAGCACCAAAAATCCCAAATCAAGACCCAAGTTGGGAACTTTGAGTGGGAAGGTAAAAAATTCCAGTTCTGCACAAAAATTCCAGGTTTGAACTCAAAAATTCCAGTTCTGAACACGCAGCTCCAGATCCAAAATAAAGGCACCAACCCAAAACTGACCACTTGGGATGGTCCAACATTCCCAATCCTGTCCAAGCTTGACCAGCACCCCAGGGTGACCCCTCCATCCTTCGTCCCACCTTTATCATCCTCCTCAGGATGTTCCTCCTTCCACAATCCTCAGCTGACCAGGGTTTGGCCAAATGGCAAGGATGACTGGACACCACTGAGATCATGATTCCCACCCCTCCCTGGACTTGACCATCACCCCAGGGTGACCCCTCCAGTTCCCCCAAACCCACCCCACCTTAGTGGTATTCCTGAGGATGTTCCTCCTCCTGGGATCCTCCACTGACCAAGATCTTGACCCGACACTGACCACTGGGATGTTCCGTCATTCCCACCCTTCTCCACACTCAACCACCCCCCAAAACAAACCTTCCAAGCCACCTCCAGTCCCTGCAAGCCCACCCCACCTTGGTGGTCCTCCTGAGGCTCCTGAGGATATTCCTCCTTCGGGGGTCCTCTCCATCAGCCGTCTCGTAGGGGATCACAGCGTTGTCACCCTTGTACCCACCCTGGCTCCCTGGCTCCTCGTCCTTCTTGCGGCCAGGCCCCAGCTCGTCGTCGCTGCCCACGCTCAGGCCGGGCCGGTAGCTGGCGAAGCGGCCGAGCCGCGCGCACCGGGCCCGGTACAGCACCGGCTTGGTGACGGCTGGAGCCCTGCGGCCGCGCTCCAGGGAGCTCGTGTCCATCTCGCTGTCCGAGCCRTTGCCGCTGCCGTTGGACTGGGCCTTGTTGATGTTGCGGATGGTGATGATCTTGCCCTGGGTGCTGTCGTGGGGAACTGAATAAATGTTCTCCTCCTCRTTCCGCGGCTTGACCACCGCGTCCATGGGCTCGGCGTAGTCCGACGGGTCAAAGCAGTCCGGCGGTAGCCACGTGGAGGACGACACCGAGCGCCGCTGGCCATCCCGGTGGCCTTGCTCCAGGTAGGACAGGTCGCTCTTGATGTCGAAATGCACCGGCGGCTTGGGCTTGACCGGCGGTGGCACCTTGTTGTTGAGCTTGCTCTCRAAGCTGCTGACCACCGAGATGAAGGACAGCCCGTCGTTGCCCTCCAGCTCCATGGACAGCTTGGAGTGGTCCTTGGGCAGCGCGGGCACGGCCGGCTCCTCGCGGAAGGGGCTGTAGCCGGGCGGCGGATCGGCGTCCTCCTCCGAGTCCGGCAGGTTGGAGTTGCCGAGCGGCGAGCCGGCACGCGGCGAGTTGAAAACGTCCTCGCCGGTGCTGCAGGCCTCGGCAGCGTTGTCGTACATGTGCGTGGCCTCRATGATGTTCTTCTTGTCCAGCGCGTCCTTCAGGAAGGGCTGGAAGGCCACGTCCAACTTGGGCTGGGGCTGGCCGCAGGGCAGCGCGGCGAAGTGGCCCTCGATCTCCTGGGCGATCTCCTCGCCCTCGGCCAGCTGCTCGCGGCTCACGTCGTTGTCCAGCAGGTCGGCCGAGCCGTCGGCCAGCGCCACCAGCTGCACGGGCACGATGTCCTGCACGTCGCCCAGGAAGGCCCGCAGCGTGGCCAGCGAGGCCTTGCGCTTGGCCGCGTAGAAGACGATGTAGCCGTGCACCAGGCGGCTCTTGCGCAGCCCGAAGGACGCGTGGTAGGACAGCAGCGACAGCTCCACRCGCCGCCGCTGAGGCCCGATGGACAGGTCCAGCAGCACGGAGGAGCCGCAGCCGGCCAAAGCCGGCCGGCAGCCCTGCGACTGCAGGATGGGCAGCAGCACGTCGTCGGCGCCCACCGGGTCACCGCACATCAGGCACATGACGATGCGCAGGTCAGCGTCCGGGGCGTCCTTGAGGCCCGAGGTGGAGCCCACCAGGTTGAGGTTGCGCTTGGAGTCCAGCAGCCCCTTGAGGACCTGGCCGATCTGCTTCTCGTTGACGTTACGGCCGTAGCCGATGCCGGCCGCCGCCGGGTCCAGGAAGACGCACTGCAGCTTGCTGGCRATCTGCTGGCCCTGCTGGATCAGGCTCTGCAGCGTCTCACCACTGGCGTCGCCCCTCTTGTTGACCAGGATGAGGGTCAGCGGCAGCTGGGCTGGGTGGTTTTCCCGGCGGCCGATGGTGGACTCACGGCTCTTCTCGATGCTCTCCACCACATAGGACAGCGACTCTTTGGAGTTGTAGAGGCACAGGCAGCCATGGGGCTGAAAAGTGGGCGTCTGGAAGGCGTTGACCGGCAGCCGGACATTGCCCTCGATGGGCCGCAGTGCCAGCTCGTACATCTTGCCCTCAATGACGTACTTGTCGTCATTGGTGCACAGCGCCCGGATCTCGTTGGCCAGCTCGCGGGCCAGCCCGTCCTTGCCCAGGATCACCAGGTTGATGCGGTCCACCGAGTCCGGMGGCGCCTGGTTCTTGTGGTGGCGCTCGGCCGGCCGCAGGAAGCGCGAGCCCAGCAGCTGCTCGGCGCGGGCGTCCACGCAGGCGGCGCAGCTGGGACACGTCTCCTTGGTGGGGTGGTAGACAAAGTGTATGTGCTTGAGGATCAGGGCATCGCGCTCGGCCTGCAGCTTCTGCAGGGCCTTGAAACGCTGCTCCTCGCCCAGCACTTCCTGGATCACGCCCATCTTCTCCTTGCTGGGCTTGGCGTCCAGCTCCAGCTCGTAGAACAGCTCCGAGTACTCCAGCAGCAGCTCCTGGAAGTCCTCCTTGGCTTTGTCGATGAGCTGCTTCTGGTGCTTGCCRTAGATGTCCATGTAGACCGACTCCTCCAGCCAAAGGTAAAAGTCCTCGTTCATGATGAAGCTCCGTGCCTCTTCCCAGGGCTTCCCAGGTGTGACAAAGGGTGAGCTTTCCAGGTTCTCGCGGAAGGCTCTCCTCATCTCAGCCCGCTTGCGCTCRTTGCGCAGCTTCTCCAGGTGGGCCTCGTACAGCTGCTCGGCCGCCGGCGTCTCCAGMAGGTCGAAAGGGATGCGCTCGTTGTCCACGGCGTCCACGTGGCTCGTGGCGTCCCAYGGCGTTTCCTCCAGCACCACGAACCACTTGAGGAAGTCCGGCTTGGCCTCCAGCAGCTTCTCCGCCTTGGCCCGGCTCAARTGGTCGATCTCGTCCAGGTCAGGCACCAGGGCGTCCAGGGCCTGGGGGAGCAGGGTCAGGTAGGCYTTGCGCCGCCGCTCCACGTGCTCCTGTTTGAGGCGCTGCACGTGCTGCAGGAAGAGCTTCTTGGCCTTGTGGGTGCCCTCCAGGTAGACGTAGTCCTGGTACTCGGCCGCCGGCTGCATGCGGCGGCACACGTTGGGCCACGCCTCGTTGTAGCTCTTGACGATGCGGCTGACCAGCCACTCGTACTTGTCCTTGGCGGCAGCGATCTGCTGGCTCTGCTGCTTGAGGGCCTCAAAGTAGGGGATGATCTTGGCCTTGCCCCGGCTCTTGTCCACCAGCTGCACCAGGGTGCTGAAGGCCAGGTCCACGTTGACGTTGGAGCGCGCCGACGTCTCCACCACCTGCAGGTTCTTCTTGCCCAGGGCAAAGGCGTGGGCGTCGCGGATGTAGCGCTCCACGCCCTCGTCGCACTTGGTCAGCACCACCACGATGGCTTTCTTGGTCTTGGCCAGCTGGTTGTAGAGGTTGGACACAAATTTGAGCTGGTCGTCAAAATTACGGTTCATCCCCCGGCTGACGTCCACGCACAGCAGGAACCCGTCCACCGGAAGCTTCCCGTCTGGCATCTGCTTCTGCTCAAAGTCCTGCTCCAGGCCCAGCTGGTCGGTGCAGAAGTACATGAGCTTCTCGGCCGAYGCCAGCTTGGTGGCCGCTGCCCTCTTGATGTAGGGCTGCAGGGCCGTGCTGCGGTGGGGCTGGAAGGTCTGGTCGTCGATGAACTCCGTCTGCTCCACCACRTGGATCTTGCACTCCACGCACTCCTCCAAGGGCCGTGCCACCTCGCCCCAGTAGAGGAAGTGGTCATTGTTGACCACCCGGCCCCCAAAGTCACTGGTGCTGAGGACGGACGTGTGGTCCAAGTGGAAGTCGTCGGCGCCGGGCCGCACAAAGCGGTTGCACAGGCAGGATTTGCCGATGCCGCACTGGCCCTTCTCCTTCTCGGTGCCGGACAGCCCCACCACGCTGACGCTGTAGGTGGGCGTGCGGCCATCTTGCTTGCGGGCCATCATCATTGTCCGTGCATGGTGGCCCAGGGCCAGGCGTGGTGGGGCGGGGCAAGTGGGGCAGGCAGGGCGCTCAGCGGCCGCTCAGCGTTGCCATGCTGCAGGGGCCGCGCGAGCTTCAGGCTGTGGCGGGCGTTGGGCGGCCGATGAGTGCCCCTGGAAGCAGAGGAGAAGGGGCAGTTAAAGGTGCACATGGAGAAGTTGGATGTGCCACGGTGACAGAATCGGGGGGACACCAGGAATGGTGGGGGGTCAGGGTGGGACACTGGGAATGGGGATGGGTCAGGGGGACACCAGCAATAGTGGGGGCTCAGGGGGGATACTGGGAATAGGGATGGGTCAGGGATGGAGCCCAACCGAGGGGTCATCGTCCACACCCAACTGAGGGTCACCATCATAGGCATGATTTCCCCACCCAACTAAGCCCACATCATGGTGGACATGGGTTCCCCACCACAGTGGGCACAATTTCTCCTCCCAGCAAGGACCTTCCATGATGGACACAACTTCTCCACCCAGCTAGATGTTCATCATGGTGGACACAACTTCTCCACCAAACCAAATACCTTTCATCTTCACAAAAACCCAAAAAAGGATACTTTAGATCTTCCCAAAATTCCAGTTACACTTGGAGCCCACCAAGACCAAGGAATTCCCTCTGGAATTACATTCTGGGTATAAATTTTCTCACTGATCGCAGGAATAAAGGACCCTAGAACAGATCCTTTGGATCACAAAAAAAAATCCCGGCAATTGGGTCGCTGGGATCTTCCTGGGGATCGCGTTAAGCTGTTCTCCATCTGGATACTGGACTAATCTTGGGCAGCCCATGGATTATGAGCCAAACCAAAGAGATTTTCCCAATTTTCTGCGAAAAATACTTCCCCCTGCTAACCCAGAGCTGCGGAGACCCCGATTCCCAATCCCAAATATGGGACACCCAGCAGGGAACGCCGGGCTGTGAATTCCCATGCAATTGAGGGTTTGGGAATGGCTGCATTTCTCAAGGAATGGAATGTGGTGAAATCCAGGGGGTTTTGATCCCTTCTGGAAGCAGAGAATTTCCATCTTTCTCTCCCATCCACAAAACCCAGTGCAAAGCATTGGGGATTTTGGAATTCTGAGAGGTTTTTCTGGGATTTTTGATGCCTCTGCAACACCTCTCCCAAAAAAAAAATACTATTTCCTTCCTGGAAATTCTGATCAGTTTACAGGCAGACTCTCCCCTGCTCCATGGTGAATTCTTATGGAATTTCAGGCACAAAATTCCACAGAGGGGAATTCCAGAGGCAGCTTTGCCCTAACACCAGGACATCCAGTGCCCCAAAACTCCTGAAATCTGTACAATTCCTAAAAGTCCCGGGAGTGAATTTTCACCCTGCCATCCTCCAACTTTGATTACCGAAAAATTCCCAATGAGAAGTCAGGGAGAGGTGGATTTGGGGTCCTTCCCACTAGGTTCCCGCTGACTTTCACTTTTTCCCTTGGAATTCCCTGAGTCAGGAGTTACTGATTGACTCCAAAGTCCATCCAACCTGGGAGGACCAGGAAGGAGGGACTCGGCCCGTTAATTTCCAGAGAATCCAGGGGAGAGGGGAATTTTCCTCCGTTCCTCAAAAAAACCCGGCTCGACAGCCAAAAAAATCCCCCAAAAAGAAGCCCAAAATCTCAAAAAAATTCCCAGAAAATAAGGTGTTTTCCATGCCTGGATCCTGAAATTCCAGGCCCACTTCTACTGGCAGCTCCAGGTTGGGATTTGCCGGAGGGAAATGACCTCGGTGCCAAAGCTCTGCCTATGTTCCATGAAATTCTCTTCCTGCTCCCGGCAGCACCAGCATTCCCGCAGGGAAATCTCAGGAGCAGAGGGATTTGGGAATTCTAGTGCTGTTTCTTGAGTTTTGAGGTGTTATGGAGCTGTTCCTGAGTTTTGGGGTTTCCCAAAGCATCCATTCCTATGGTTTGGGATGTCCCAGAGCTGTTCCCCAGTTTTGGGATGTCCCAAAACTGCCATTCCCAATTTATGGGGTGTCCTAGAGCTATTCCTGAGTTTTTGGGTATCCCAAAGCTGCCATTCCCAAATTTGGGGATTTCCTGGAATACTTTACCCAAACTCAAATATCCCAGGACCTTCCCCTCAGCCTATAAACCTAGGAACAGCCAAATCCTGCCCAAATCCCACAAATCCCAACCCAACCCCAGCAGGAAGGAGGAAAGGGGCTCCTTCCCAACAGGAAAAAGGGCCTGGAATCAACTTCTGACACCACAACTTCACAGGAGCAGAAAAGGATTCCATGAAATGTCCCAGGAATGGAGTAATACCAACTAAAATTAAAATAATGTCATAAATCCCCCTTACTTATCCAAAAAAACATCCTGTGCAGTTTTCTATGGGAAAACACATGGATGAGGGTCACGAATCCTCATCCCGCCTCCAGGCTTTTCCCATCCCGGAGTTCAGGAATTGTCCCATAAGCTTGTAAGGACAAGAGGCAAAGAATTTTGGGATCAGGGATGGGAGCTGCTCCAGGAGGATTTGGGAAATTTCAGAAATTTGGGATTTCCTGAAATTACAAAGGATTTGGTATGGAAGGACCAAATGACCTTCAAACCCACCCACTCCCATCCTCTGGAATATTTCCACTTTCCCAGGCTACTCCAGGCATTGGGCAACGGCAAGGATTTTCCAGCTTCCCTGGGAATTTCTCCCCCAAATCCCACAGAAATTCCCCCTTTTCCAATGGGAAACCATTCCCCATTGACCTGGAATTCCATCCCTTTTCCAAAGTCCCTGTCCAGCTCTTTGGGACGATGAATTGCCCCAAAAGGGATGTATGTTTTCCATGGATTTTCCATCAATCCCAGGAATGAATGACCCCAAAAGGGATGGATTTTCCATCATTCCCACCCAAAAACGGCTCCTCATTCCCTGCGGGAACACACAGAATTCTTTGTGATTTTCCTGCTACTCCAGAGGGGGAAAAGTGTCTACACCAATATCCTCTCAATCCAGGCACATCTCAAAATCTCTCAAGAAATCCCTTATTTCCCAATTCCCAGTTCAGATAATCAATAAGGATTGGGAAAAGAGAGGAAAGACTGGGAAAATCCAGGAAAATATCCCAGTTTGGAGCTCCCAGACACTGAGAAGGTCCCAAAATCAGAAATTTTGTGCAGCTCAGATGCACAAGAGCCTCTGTTTTGGGGAATTTTTGAGGAAAATGGGAACTCCCGGAGGCACCCCAGGGGGGAGAGAGAAAAAAAAAACAGAAAAAAAACCACAGGAAAAAACAGGTTTTTCCCCTTAAAATCAAGCAGCTTTCCCAACTTTTGTGTCCCCCATTCCCAAACCGGTGGGGACATAGGAGAAATCCAGGAATCGAGACCCAAAAATTTGGAATGGAAGCACCAATTCCCAGCGGGAACAGTTGAATTCTATCCCTACAAAATGTCCCCAGAAAACACCAAAACCCCCACGGAGGAATCAGGAATCAGAGCCCCCCTCCCCCCATTTTCCCTGGAAACCCCCTCCAAAAAGAAAATGGAGAAAGGATCATTGTCCGAGGCTTTGTCTCCCACCGGGATTTTTGGGGAATAAAAAGGAGCTTTTTTGGTGGCCGGAGCCACTCTGAGGACACCTACTCCAGAGAACCCTGGGAATGGGGGAATCTGGGGATCTCAGTGCTACCAGAAAATGCTGAAGTTTCCAAATTGGAGGAGAAAAACTTGGGAAAAAAAAACAGGAAAAGGCCAAAGGAGTTTTTGGAACAAAACAGAGGATGCTGAGGTAGTCCCCCACCTAAAAATGGGCAAAAAATTGAGATTTTTTTCCCCTACTCCCAACTGAATTTGGGGAGGGGAACTGGAAGAGCCCCTCCCCCACTCCCCAGGAGCCAGACTTGAGGAGGAGGATGGGAACCCCCTAAAAATGGGGTCTAAAAATGGGGTCCAAATATGGGGGAGAAGCCTCCACCTCTTCATCGGGCAGGGATCTTCACCCTTCTATTAGGGGGGCACTGATTTTTGAGGGGGATGTCTCCCCAAGCCCCACAAATTGGGGGCGGTCTCCCTTAATTCGGGGAGGTCTCCCTTCCCTGTACCCCGCCCCTTAAATTGGAGCCTTCTCTCTTAGCAGCCCTCCTGTAATTGGGGGGTCACCCCTTCCAGACCCCCTTCCCTAATTGGAGAGGGGTCCCCCTCCCCCACCTGGGGGATCTCCCCTTCCATAATTGGAGGGTCTTCCCTCCTCAAATGGGGGTGTCTCCCCTCTAAGTACTCCCCTCTCCTAATCAGGAGGTCTCCCCTCCCCTAACTGGGGGTCCCCCCCTCCACCAGGTGCGGCCTTCCCTCTGCAGCCCCCCATGAATGGGCGACGGGACCATTGAGGGAGATCGGACGAGGGTGGGGGTCTGTCCCCCCCCTCCCCCACGGGGGTGGTCTCTCCCGGGCGCCCTCACGGGCCGCCCCTCACCCCCCCGCAGGGGCCATGGGCCGGTCCGGAGGGCGCGCGGCGGGCGGGGGTGGGGCGGCCCATTGTTCTTCTGGGGGGGCGGTTAAAGAGAAAGACGGCGATGGTGGTGTTGAGGGTGAGGCT